TGCCTCACCCCCACACTTTCAAAAAGTTCACGGAAATTGTTTTTATATTTATTAGGCAACTGATAAAGGTATGGTGCTGCTTCAAAATTCAAATGAAAGGAAACTCTTTCTGAGTCAACATAAGCATTCTCAACTAGAATGAAGTTGAAGAGTTTTAACTTTTCAACAATTGACATCTTAGCGACTTCATTTTGCATCATTGCGTCATGAAGGTATTTGTAGCAAGCATTGGTGATGTTTTCCTGGTACAACGTAACCCCATCATCAACTGATCTTGCAACTTCTTTCAACTGGTTTACAACCAGATCAACCGTTGGCTTCCTCAGCAATCCCAAAAACTCTTTAACAGCCAATGGCACGGAACCACACCCTCTGAAGGAATGTGAGTTTTCATTTAGAATTGGTTGCAGAAGACAAACTATATCTTGATGCTCAGCTGTATAAAGGTCAGTTGCTGCAAACATGGTTTCAGGCTTAAAACTGTTACCTTTCCAGTCCAAAGAAAACCCTGCTGGCTTTGTTAGAAATGGAAGAAAGGGTATTGTTTGATATTTCGCAGCAAAGTCCCTTGCTCTGGGATCCCTTATTTTTAGCTTTTCATCGATGAGACTCAGCAGTATGCTGCTGCGCAGACAGGCTGCAGCATGGTCAGTTTTATTGACCTCAGCAACCGACTCTGCACGCTCTAGCATGTCATCCCACAGAATATCATCTTTGGCCATACCTAACTGAACTAGTTTAATCAAAATAATAGGATTAAGATAATCCTGAGTAGAACCATAAGGAAAGCGACCATCTTTAGTATCGAATAACTTTGCAACTCGTCCTTCAGGGTGGATTAATCTTGATGGTAAAACCAAAGGATGCCCCTCAAGAGAGCAAGGAATACATGGAGTAACACGCAGAATTCCTGAGTATTCATCAACTTTTTCATTTAGAACAAAATTCATCAAAGGATCTCTGAGTTCTGCTTCAATTTCTTGAATATTTGGAAAAAACACTTCTGAAAAAAATTGTTTCTCTGAAAATGTATTTTCCAGCAGTATCTGTTTGCAGCCAGCTTCTTCAAATCCTAATTTTACTGAGGAAGGAAGTTCAACAGCACACAGGTTTTTTGATCCAGTCTTCTTGAGGTATTTCAAAAATATCTTGAAGGCCGCTGGACCAACGTCTCTTCTTTTAAGTATGGAGTCATCTAGAAATCTCACATTCTTCATGGAAACCCATGTAGATCCATCAGAGAAGACTCTGGTTAATTCTTTCCCTTTGCCATGAGCTATATCTTCATAAAATCCTTGACAAATTACAGAAAAATCATCATGAACGGAATCAGGATCAGGCCACACTGCATAGTAAGTATAATCCACCAGCTCCCCACTGGTGGCCAGGTCACGGAGGACGCTGAGGGCCTCTAAGTAAGCTTTCACAACAACGTGTCTCATGAAGGTGGTATTCCAGCGTCCTTTTGTATCTGTCTTCCAGATTTCTTTCCTATTTGAAGTAACAGCAAAGCACCCATTGATGTGAACTGGCAATCCTGTCTTTATACGCAAAGGCAAATAGCAAAATACCTCTCCCACGTGTGGTTTCACGGCCCACTTCTGGTCCTGGATCTCAGACAACAGAACTCCCACCGCCCCACAAGGAACTAGTCCCAGTCTTCTTCCACTTTCACTCAGGGAAAACTTAAGAGCCTCTCCTGTATCCATGCAGGAGCACAGAAGCCATGTGGTACACTCCACTGTTTTTTGTGGCAACTCATCTGATGGCTTTTTTGATTGGCCCAATTTAGCCATTTCAAAGAGAGCAGCTGGGTCATCATCCGGCCCTCTGAAAAGTGGTGACTGTAAATCCGCAATCCTCCTGAAGACGTGGTGAAATTCTTCAACTGTGATCTGAAGAATGCAAGATGACTTTGGGGCATCAGCAGGCGGCTTTTTGTTACTGCTGCTGCAAGTCTTCATGAGCTTAGCAGCTTCCTGTAAAACACTTAAGACAGGGGCATGCAATGCTTTGGAGGAGCAGGATTTTTTTTTAATTATTACTGTATCTTGTGCTAAGCTGGGATTGGCTTCCTCAATTTTCAAGTACTTCAAATACATTGAGGTTACACTCTGAGTGAAAATGATAAGCCTGTGTCCACAGAGACTAAATTCATCCACAAGAGAGTAAATATCGGCTGTATTATAGCAGGTGCTACTAACTTCACTCACTTTCGCTTCCTGCTGAGTTCTAAACGACAGTCGGAAAATGGTTCCATTGTAGCTGTAAGGGGCTTCCACAGTCAAAGGTAACTGACAGCCAAATACATTTATAAATGGTTTGAACTGATTAGGAAATTTCCTAAGTCTTTTCTGTTGTTTACTCCAATTAATTTTGATCCCAGGATTAGATTTGTCTTTAATGTGTTTACTGATATGATTTATGTTTGGATCGAACATTATCATGAATTCTCGACTCATAATAATGGGAATGTCAGTGATATGGTACACAGAATTAAAGCCAAGACCAAATTTTCCAACTTTGTCGACTTCTGCCCTTTTTAAAGATTCTCCTAACCTAGTTATGTTCACAAAATCTGAATCTGAGAATTCAGAATTATTGAAGGACCACAAAGCAGGCCCATGACAAGCTGCCATCCCCGGGTCTAAAAGGTTCTCTCTAATGTCCATATTTCTTCTCATATCAATCATGAAACTGCATTCTGTTGCATTTGCATCATCAGCATTTTGAAGTAGTTCTTTAAAAATATCTGACACTGAAGGGTACTCTTCCAAAATATTTTTAATTCTTACAGTAAGTGGTTCTCTTTGTCCTGACTGCTCAAATCCCATGTTTTCAGGATTGATCAATCTTGTACTAAGGCATGGAACTTTCAGCCATTCTGCAGTTTTCATGGGTATGTCTTCATGCACCAAAATGATTGGTTCTACCGAATCTTCCAGTAAGTCATTGAGATCATCGACTTTAATGTCGCAGTAACAGCACTCATGAATTGGCTTCATGATCAGTTTAGAAGTATTCTTGCTGTGATGTATAGGAACTGGTGTGTTGGGGCTTGCTGGAATCTGATTGCTATATAGCCATCTGATAATATTCAACATAAGATGAAGATTTTGTTTGCTTTCTTGTTCACTGAGATCTTGGTCACTTTTGAGATATACCTTCTGAATGACCATGGAAATATGATCTGATGTCAACTCCTCTATCGAACCACAGACCTTAAACAGTTGGTGGAATTTTGCCATGGTTTTAGGCACACTATGCAAATAAGGCTGAAGATCAAGATCATGGAACGGTTTTATCACGGCTTGGGAGAGGGGACAAAATTTTTTGCCAGTCCAAACCCATGGAAATTTTAAGGCTCTGAAAGCATCTTTCCCTTCATTTAAATGATCATGCATGAATCCATAAATTTCAAGCAAAATATGTTGGAATTGATAGTAGTCTTCATCACTAAAGGTTTTCGAAGTATACCAATCAACAACAATTTTAAAGTGTTTTAAGACAGCACTGATACTAGGTTTTGTGACGATACCTAAAGCTTTCTCCAAGTTTATATGGACACTTTCAACAAGAGGAAGTGAGGAGCCCACTAGAATTGCATGCATGGCATCACACATATCCGGCGGAGCACAAAGGTCACAGATGTCTCCTTTCCAGACCAAAGAGCCCGGATAATTCGGAGGCCTTTCCTTGCAAGCTGGAACCCATTTTATTTTCTTCAGTGTCATCTTTCCTTCAGCTGACTGCAACAGTGCATGATTCTTATTTAAAACTAGTAAGAGTGTTTTGGCTTTCTTTAGAAGAACATCCTGATTTGGACAAGAACTGACCTGCAAGCCTTCAATTTTTTTTGCCACTTGCACAACATCTTTCTCTTTGAGACTGGCTTCATTTTTTAATCCAATCTGTCTTAAAGAGTGAAGAATATCTGGTGAGGTAAAAACTGAAGGTGGGAAACAAGTTTCTTCTTCATCATAAAAGAGATCCTTTAGTATTTCTATGTCAGGATCAAAGAGTTCACTGGCTGATACAATCTGTTCCTGTGAAATCTGAATGAACTTTAATGGCATTAACCAATCAAGTACATTTGGATTCTCATTTTTAAGAGAGGATAGATTCTCGAGGATCCATAACATAAGATGTGTTATCTCTTCATGTGAATAAAATGCATTTTCCATGTCTTTTAAAACAAGCTGTAAGCAACTAGTGGTCTTTAACGTCTCTATTTTCAACATGTTTGCCAAGCGAATAGTAGCTTCATCACTGCTGTCTATCACGGGAACAGAGAGCCGCAGGCCTGGTGGAAGTTTGGCAGTATGGTGCAAGACTTTACACCCTTTCAGTTTGGTATAAGAGGAGAGTCCCTGACCAGATGAATGGTTAACTCGCTTGAATATTGTCAATTCCTGAATTATTCTTTTCTCCTTTTCACTGCTATCAGTTAAACCAGCTAAGAACTTCCTCAGGGCGTCTTTGTGTGTCGGAAGTAGCGAAGCTATTTGATTACACAATTTCTGCAATGGCATCTTCTCCATTATCTGCAAAACAGCACTAGGTAATGGTGAATTAATGTACTTTTTAATAAGTGGATGTTGTATGGAGGCATCTAATTTTTTAAGGATAATGCCTCCAAGTTTTTGTACAATGTCTGCTAAAAATTCTGGAAGCTGTGCTTCAGATTCATCATCTAAAATGACTAATGACGGAATCCTGAGTCTAATGAGTTCCACACACATCTGGCCTTCCTCTAGTGCCGTTCTGGGGATAAGTGGCATCTCATCAAATAAAGTCAAATCCTCTGAAAAATGTATATAGAGGTTCTTCCAAACCATTTTAAGCCACGAAACAGATGGGTGACGCTTGTCTTTATCACACGGATACCACTGAACGATCAACTCTCTGCCAGGCCAGAATGTATTCATTGCTTCTTTGATAAGACGTGCAAATCGTTCTGGATTTAGAAGCTGCAGCTGAGTACATGGTCTTCCTGCAAATTGTAGACAGAAATGTTATAAATATATATAATTCTACTGTAACTTATTTCGCTTTCTATTCTTGCAGATTAGATAGTACTACAAAGTCAATTTAAAGAGTTTTAAGTACACTGTAAAAATGCAAAAATTCAGCATAACTGGGCTAAAATAAGTTTTAAATAGTAACCACAGAGAATCTACACATCAATCCATATTTATAACCAACTATAGAAGAAATAATTCTCTCTAGAAAGTGCCTATTTTAAATAAATATATAAAATGCATTTACATGTGTTTCTAAAATTATCCTATAATGTTCCACAAATGGAATCAACATGGAAAATAATTTTTCATGGTTATTTGTCCATAAATAAAAGCACCAAAGAAAACGTGGATAAAGTTAAAATAAGTACCATTTTATTGAAGGGTAAGTAATTTACAGGCAAACCCAACATGAATTTCCTTTCTTCATGTTTCCAGGAGCCGCCTGGCTGCACAGGATGTAGAGAAGGACAGGAAGTGAGAGCACAGAGGTCGGAGTCTCAGTCTCAGCTCACCAACCCTGTCTGAAGCTGAGGCAGCAAAGAGACGTACAGTTTCCCTTCAGCCACCAGCTAGATGTGTAAGTTTGGTGTCACTTAATCTTCCTGGGACTTAAATTCTCTCATCTGGAAAAAGCATGGGGATGAGGTTCTAGGTCTCAAGACTGCTCTATATGCACGCCCAAGTGTGGAGCAATTCCACAACTTTCCCAAAGTCACTGGGACCTAGCTGCCTATTACTCATTAAAGGATGTTTGCCAGAGCCCTGGGATTTCGCAGAAATGCATCAGGGTCAAGCCACAGGAGCAAGCGTGGCCCTGCTGCGCGGGCAGGGCTGTCCCCCACCAGGCAGCTCCACTTCTGATGTTTTACAAACTAGGAGACTAGTAAGATGTCATCTGGCGGCAAGAGTTTTGCTGATTTTTAACCACTGGTCTAGAAAATCACACTTTACTTCTAAAGTGCATTCTGTGTTTCAGAGTTTCTAATACCTGGAGAAACAAAGTTAAAGATAACACTCTATACCTACAGGTATGTATTTGCCATGTAGAGAAATAAAAGCACTAAAATCAATCTTATGGAAAACTAACATTCAGTTTTCTCCCTGTGTACATACAATTTCTAGACTCTTAAAAGACGAATTTTGGAAAAAGTTATAAAAGAGGGCACACCTCAAGCCCCTCGAAATTTCTGTATTTATTAGTTTTTAACCAAGGAAGGACATCCTTATTTAACAGTCTTCCACATCAGGAAGATGACTTGACCTCCTACCAAGAAAATCACCTTTCTTGCGACAGTAAGACATTTTAAAACTACTGTCATAGAAGTTTAACCAAGGGCACACTTCTGCAATTTTTGGAAGATATCAATACCAAATTCTGAATATTTTCAGTTTCTACATTGCATGATTTAGGGTAAGTCAAGTAGTAATATTTAGGAAATCATACAACCTGGTCAGGAGTCTGACTGTATAAGCCTCTTGTTCTGCGTCCCATTAAAATACAGTTTTTATAATTCATTTTTAACAATGTATTAAAAAAATGCTTACTGGATTAATTATAACAGAATATCAAATCATATGTAAGGCAAGGATATAATACCAAAGACGCAAAACAAGAGTTAGAAATTAAAATTCAGAACACTCGGAAAACAGAAAATTAAATATGCACCACACTGTGTTCTGTGTTAATAACTGCCACATGACGTGCATTTTGTAAATAATTGTATCCAATATCCTTGCATGAAATTTGGCAATTTATAAAACACATACCTACCTTCAGGAAAATTATCTACTATTAATTTATAAATAAAATGCCAATAAAACATACACACTACATTTAACATGCAACTAACACACCAGTCATGCTCAAATGAAAAAACGTAACAGAAAATAAAGGAGAGAGAAAATGCAGTAAGGCCCAATTCTACGTAGTCAGGTCGATTCAATCTGAAGTCCTGATTTCCATTTATTTTGTATTTAAGGCTTTAGGCTTTTAACCCTAAAGTACAAATGTTAACACAGAGAAAAGTCTTCATGTCCTGGGTTAGAAAGCCATTGAAACTGTAAAGCACCTCTAACAGAAATGATTTCTAATGAACGACTTGTGTTTTGGTTGCCTAGCCTTTAAAAATATCAGCACTGTCAAAAGAGGGTAACTGGACAGTGAAAGTGCTCCTAGTGACCAGAAGGTTTTATCCAAACTGGCATCAAATATGATTATCTAATTTAGAAATAACTCTCCTAAGAGGAGTTTTTCCCTTACTACAGATCAGTTCAAAAGCGTAACATCAACACGCATCACTACTCAAAGACTGCACTATGGCTTTTGTTAACGTTTGTTTATGTTTACGTTCAGTCCTGACCTGGAGACAGGTTTTCACCACGGATGGAAATAGGATGTTATAAGCTACGTTAAAGCAGACCTAACCGCAACAGCTCGTCCCGAGCGCTCTCGCTGACTGCGCGTTTACTGCGCTGGGCCAGATGCTCCCAGAGGCGCGGCCAGCCAAGACTCCGGTGACCTGAGGCTGGAAGGACAAGTTTTTCATTGTTTTCCTGTACAGAAAGTGGCAAGGGCAGCTTTGAGGGATGACAAGTTCTAACAACGTTGCCCTGTGTGGAGAGACCTGAGTGCTTTGTAAACACTATGTGATAAAGTAAAGGTTCAAGGAAACGGTGAACTGAAGGTTGGTCAAATCTCCAAAGAAACAAAAGGGAGAAAAGGAAAAGAGCCAGAAAAGGAAGGAAAGGAGAGCCTGCTGTCAGCCTAGCTGCACCCGTCCAGCCCCACGGGTCCGGCAGCAGCACTGCAGGCACTGCAGGGTCCGGCAGAAACTTCCGCTCTAATGTGGAGCCTGCATGCGGCTCAAAAGCAGCACTAGTGACCACACTCCTTCAAGAGGTCAACACCGACACTCGCTGCTGCCTTCCTTGTGCTCCTCTGAACAGGAGAGCAACCATGGGGGGATCACCGCCACACCTGGAGTCCTAGGGTGGGCAGTAACCACGCAGTCTGCTTCTATCAAGGTTGTTTTCCTCTGTGATTACATCTTAAAAATGAGATATATTGATTAAGCTTTAAGAATATACAGTAATAGTAGCTGTAAATGATAAGCTACTTTTAATAAAAACTAGAAACCAAATTTAATATTTATGTGAATTATCAGTATAACAATGACTTGGTCTCAAAATTATACAGCCTGAATCAAAGAACAGATTGACTCCAAAAACAATATTTACCATAAAAACAATTTCCATAAAGCAAATCTTGCATGCTCTAATATTCCAAGTGAAACATGAACAAGGGGAAAATAATATAGGTTGAGTCAAAAACCTCTTATTTAAAAAAAAAAGACAGTCACTAAAATGACACACTAGGCACTGTAAGGCCAAGTGGCCGACGGTTCCTAAGGAGCTGTGTCAGCGCCTTGCCATGCCTCGGTACGCCACGGGCGGGGCCGCTCTGCTGCTCCCAGCCTCAGCACACTAAGCCATGCTCCATCCAGCACGCTGGGCCAGTGGTCTTCTCATCTCAGTCAGAGGGTCCAGAACTGATTCCTTTTTAACTCAGTATTTATGTGTATTGTACAACAGAGGTGCATTTGCTCTCACGTCTTCCCATTACATACCACAGCTTAAAATGCAAATTTCAGCAAAATTCTTTCATTTGAGACTAAATGGTTCCACGAGATGAATGTTTCCAAGTCATTTAAATATGGTTTTATTGTGGTATGTATAACAACCCCCATATACCTATATTAGTATAGTTTCCTCTCTCCTTTAATAGGTATCACCACCAGAAAAAAAAATTGTTGACATAACTTCTAGCTACTTAGGTAAATGAAAAAACAGGATTCAAAGAATCAAATGAACAAAAACATGAGGCTACAAATGAACATAACATTTAGTCAGTTATCATACCTGAATATCCCCAGAGAAGCTGTTGTGCTAGAACATAATTAAATCCGTTCTTAGAAAAAGCCAGAATTGTCATAATTTTTACATGACAGCTACAGAAATTATTCTATATCTTAAAATAACACTGTTTGGAGAATCTTTACACATCATCATGTAAAAGAAAAATCATAAACACAACTCCAAATATAGCTGAATATACATTTAAGATTTAAAGATGTATTTCAATGCAAACTAAATCCAAACTACACAAGGGTGGGAAATCTTAGTTCAGAACAAAAGCAAAGAAGAAAGGAGTATACACTTTATATGCATAAACTACATTTCAACAACATAAATAAAGTCATTTCCTAAACTCCAAATGGGCTTTCTATATAGGCTATCATCATGTAACATTCAGATATTCTAGATAAGAATTAAGAAAGGCAAGACATCTGATTTTTTAAAAGTTTTGGACCATGTCCACAAAGTAAGTATACAATTAATTCTGACTTTATGATAAAGAAAGGGAGGTTTACATTTCCATGGCTTGTTCATGGGACCACCAATAACAAACTTCAAAGAATTGCTCATGGACATCTAACCCCTCCTCTGCCTAAAGCAAGCCATTTATTGGATAAGTACATCTCCACATCTCTGAGAGATGTCTGCACACTTGGGTACCTCGGGCTAACCTTACCAAAGGAAGTTAAGCTCCTCCAATCTTAACATCCTTCCAATTACTTTAGAGGCATTTTGTCAGTCAGTGAAGATTGACTCAGTGCTAGAGATACAGAAAGGACCACGCAGACATGGTCCCAGACCTCGTCTTGCAGTCTAAGGGGAAGGCAGGCATTAGATAAATTATCGTCAGTGATTACACAGGGATGAGTCTGCGAGCGCTCTGAGGAGCTCAGTGCTCTGTTCACACACAGGGCTGCGTGCACAACGAGCACGGGCAGCGAGAGGACGGGACGGCAAAGGAAACCATGCGCAGCACAACTTAGGGAGGATAAGAACGCGTGGGCTTCCAAACATGAGAAAGACCAAGGGGGATACGGAAGGAGGTTATTAACAACAATCATAATAACAGCAAACACTGATATACCCTCTCCACGTACCAGGCATCTTTACAACACCCAGAAGATGCAGCCAGATAATAAGAAGGCTCACAGGAAATCTTAAGGATTTTGGCTGTTGTTCCAAGGATAACGGGGAAGCCTTTGAAAGATTTTCAGATAGGGAGTGGGAAAATAATATTTTAGAAAGATAATCCTAGCAGTACTGTACTGTATTAACTACAGAAGCAAGAAGAGGTGTGGGGAGATTTTCGACGTTATTTCCACATTCCAGGTAAGAAACGAAGGTGGCCTGAATGACGGTGAGGGTGGAGTTGGGAGGGAGAAAGACCGTAAACATGGCCCTTGTGTGCAACAAGTAGCTGTGGAAGCACAAACCCACATCCTCGTGGCAAAGCCTGCCCAAAATCTTGAGAATACTGCTGATCTATACATCTGAGGCTGCCACCTAAAAGTGCAACTTTTTCTGAAGATTTCTACATACATATATGAGATGCCATTATCTCTTAAATGAATACTGTAAATCCTCACAAAGTGTGTCAAAGTGGACAGTGTCGTATGCTCTCCATCCAGACACGAAATTTGCAGCCTTTCCCCTGACCATTTGAGACAGAACACGGGCCACCTCCTCTGTGAGGTCCCCCTGCCCTGCCCCCGCCTCTACCAACTCTCTTCTCTGTATCTGATGGAGGATCCATCATGCTAAATGACAGTATTATTTACATTGCTGTCCCCGCTCAGCTGTGAGCTCTTTCAGTTTTATTCATCTTTATATTATTTCCATCTAGCACCATGCCTGGTACATAGGGGAAATTCAAACAAATGTTTATTGAAGAGTGTCTGGTCATGAAATGGAACAAAGCATGAGGCTAAATGTAATAAATAAGAATGAAAAAAATTTAAATGTAAATAAGATCTTGGTGCCAACCCATTAGGCATTCCTACCATTTGACTGAATCGATTGCTTTTTATCTATATATGTCCTCTAAAACCCAGTTACCTGCTCTTCTAACTATTCAACAATTTCTGACAGCCACCTATTTACTCACGCAACTTACTACAGAAATAATCTAGACCTGGAAATAGAAAAAAAATAGAGAATCGTAGCTCCAATTCTGCAACTCAAGCAAGTCACTTAAATCCTTCAAACTCTTTCAGCTTCACTGTCTCCATCTCTCAAATGAAGATGATAACACGGGCTCTACTATCTCACTATCATAGAAAACAATTAAGACAAGAGAAGACACAGCTGTCCCTCAGCATCCGCCGGGCATTGGTTCTAGGACCCCGCAGATGCCAAAATCCCGGGATGCTCAAGTCCTTTACACAAAATGGCATAGTATTTGCATATAACCTACACACATCCTCCCATATACTTTAAATCATCTCTAGATTATTTATAATACCTAATGCAATGTAAACGCTATGTAAACAGTTGTTATACTGTATTGTTTAGGGAAGAACGACATGCTGAATAAAGATGCAACCACCGTAGGTCTTTCAACCTGTGGTTGGTTGAATCTGCAGATGCGGACCCATGGACACGGAGGGCTGACTATACTTACTTGAAAAAGATACTAAATCACAGGCACAACACCAGGGATCTGCCTTTTCATCTTGGTACTCCTGTCCCCCCAACACCATCCCCACCCTGCCCCGCATATGGAAGCATTAACATGTCGAAGCAAAGTGTCACCAGGTACTGGGAATACAAAAATAAAATAATAAGCACCCCGCTCTCAAGGATTTTCTAGTGTAGCACAGTAAAAATATGATTGCAGTAAGGCAAAGAGAATTAAGTGGACTGTGTACTGGGCTCCACAAGCAAAGAAGAGGCATCTACGCCAGATTTGCCCGGCAGGGGCAGGGGTGTGGAGACACACATGAAAGGAAGCCTCTTGGAGGAGACTTGTGGGCTGAATACTAAAAGACGAATCAAAGTTAGCAAGGCAAAGTGGAGGACGGAAAGAGTATTCTAAGCAAAAGGAACACCATGTACAAAAATACAGATATGAGAAGACTTTCATTCCACCCACCTTGAAGGAGGCACTGTGCCACACAGCGGTGACAAATCTCACAGGGCTCCACTCTCATGAGATGAAGGGAGCACTCAAGTTTATCAATCTACAATGCTTGGGGTGAGAACAGAAGAGGGACACTGAATGCATCAAGGTCAATGAGATGGCAAGTTCACAAGCATGGAAAGTCCACACTAACAAGACTAGATCGATCCTGAGAGAATCAGCATCCACTGGAGAACCTGCAGCAGGGGAGGGGCCTGAGCAGGTGGAGAGAGAGCATGAGAGGGAGGGAATCCTGAGAGAATCAGCATCCACTGGAGAACCTGCAGCAGGGGAGGGGCCTGAGCAGATGGAGAGCGAGCATGAGAGGGAGGGAATCCTGAGAGAATCAGCATCCACTGGAGAACCTGCAGCAGGGGAGGGGCCTGAGCAGATGGAGAGCGAGCATGAGAGGGAGGGAATCCACGAAAAGGCTGCAGTAATAATGTCACAAGACACACAGGACCGATACACCAACAGTGGCAGTGCAATAAGAGAAAGGGACCAATAAACAAAGTTTAATCAACAGAAGCTGGAAACTGTGGAGAACAAAGCTGAGAAACAGGATTCATTCTTGAGCAACTACATGGGTAATGGGTACCTTTCTCAATAGGATCGCTCAAAAGGAGAAACAGATTTGGGGAAAAGATGGGGACTGAAGCTGTGAAAATGTTGATTTTGAGATACTTACAGAACTCCAAGTGCAAAAAAGATAACAGTTGCCATTTTATCAGTATTTCTTATGTTCCAGGTATTATGTTAAAATATATTCTGTATACCTCATCTGATCTTCAGAGTAATTCCGACTATGAGTAAAACACTACAAAAGAGCTTTTCAATAACCTATGCTGCTATGATAATGCAAAATGGGATAAAATTCAATTACTAGGTTGTCATTGCCTGCCATCCTCCACTCAACCCTTATTCTCATTTCATTAACCTGGTAATAAAGCAATCTTGCAATTTATGTAATTGAATCTTGAGGGCCTCAGATACACTCTTAGGGAAGGATGTTACCGTATTACCATGTTATTGATGAGGAAACAGAGGCTCAGAGAGGTAGGGTAATTTGTTCAAAGTCACACAAGAGAAGAGTCAAGTTTGAGCCCAGATTTGTGTGACTACAACGTCCAGGTTTGTAACCACTACACTATACTACCCCTCTTGAGACTGGGGTGGCAACTGAAGACACGGAGGTCATTACATGTGCATGACAGTGGATGCCTGGCAGTGAAGGAGCAGACTCAAAGGAAGTAAGGAAGAAAATAAGAAAGCAGAAGAAGCCCCTAAACTAACCCATACTTAGGGAGTAAACTGAGGAACAGGAATTCACAAATAATTCTGAGAAGCAGGAAGAGAAATATAAGGATACCAAGAGAGAATGGAAACATAAGAGTCACGGAGTTCAAAGGGGGAGTGATCAACAGTGTCAAAGCTTCATGGAGAACAGGCAAAAAGGAGCCAAAAAGTCCAGTGGATTCAATAATGAAAAATCATGAACCAGTGACGTCAGCCAGGCAATCCCACCAGAGTGATAGCAGACGCAGGGATACTGGAGGACGAGAAAGTACAGACAAGAAGCATACACTGCTCTCTCTAGAAGCCGGACGAGGAGGGAATGCCAGAGGGGAAACCAGAGTCAAGATCTGGCCTGTTTTCCCCAAAATGGGAAGGACTGAAACATGCCGAACTGCTGGGAGGAAAGGGGCGGAAGGGGCAAGAGTGAAAACCCAAGCATTAACTTACTATTTAGCTCAGGATTTTAAAGGTGATACAAGTAAAAGGTAAAACTAGCCAACAATGGGACAAATTTTGCTTCAGCTGTAGAATTAGAGAAGTATCCAACGCAGAACAAAAACCCTCACGTTCCAATTTTATGCAGCAGTATTTTCAAAACTGGCCCATCAGTTTTTACAGAGAATCAGTAAACAGTAGTTCACAGTGCTTTGTGTCAGCAGAACAATCACGTGATCATTATTTAGAGCAGAAAGCATCAACTGTGCTGTTTCCCACATATGAAGGGAGCTCCATAACACAAAACTCTTGACCCCTCTCACTAACACCCTCCATCTGCCCCAGGCCACCAGAAAGGGGAATGGCCTATCTCACGGGCAAACTCGGGGGCATCTGTGCCTGCCAGGGAGATGCAGGGATGGCCCCTCCACACTCCGCCGTGCACAGCAGCCTCAGGAAGGACGTCTGGAAGGTCTTCCAGTGCTGCCTGCGACCAGCCTGGGGAGACAACCGCTGAATTCTGGGTTCAACAGTATAAAGCCACTGCCTGCCGTAAGCCCTGACCTCCAATACCAGAGCTATCAGTCACACGGGCGACTTGTGATGTCCACCTGCTGGGTCCCTCTCTGTGTATCTCTTCACTGCCTCAGATCTCAGGAAGGAAAGCAAGGGGGCCATCAGCCCTACATTCTGACAGTCTGAAACAGTGTAACTGTTAATGGCATGATAACTGCTGAAGTAATATCAAAAACTAATTTTTGTCTGGAACTAATGGTATAAAAATAATAGGGAAGATGCCCAGGAAGCAGTTACCCATCACCCATATGGCCAGATAAAGATACTGAAAAGGCTAGCGGTCAAGATTATAAAATAATCATGAGAAGAGTAGCCCAAGACTTACATCAAGACAAAGAAAATGACCAAGAAGACAACTTCTGGGAGAACCGAGCCACACAATACGAGCGACAAAAAAAAGTGAAGATGTCCCATCTAGTGTAATGGTCCAAAGAAAATCAACCAAGAACCAGAGACGAACACGGTTCTTACTGTATAATGCCAAAATGACAAGTCGGAATCCACAGGGGATGAGAAGCTGAAAGGACACAAAGCAGGAAGACTCAACTTTGTCGAGATGTCAAATTGCCTAAGTTAATACATAAATCTAACTCATCCCTAAAACCGTAACGGCAGGTGCCCCGTCCGCCGGAGGCTAAAGAAGACAGCGGGGGCCGTGCCCTGTGCCAGACGGCATTTAAAAAGTTCTGAGTAAAAGCAGTATTATTCTGTTGGCCCTCTACCTTTCTACCTGATTTGGTTCTGAATAACTTTCGGCTGATTTCCAAACCCATGTCCACCGCAGAAAATATAGGCCATTAACAAAAATATTCTCTTAGGGGGCTGGCCCCATGGCCAAGTGGTTGAGTTCACACGCTCTGCTTCGGCAGCCTAGGGTTTCCCCAGTTCGAATCCTGGGCACAGACATGGCACTGCTCATCAAGCCATGCTGAGGCAGCATCCCACATGCCACAACTAGAAGGACCCACAACTAAAAATACACAACTATGTATCAGGGGACTTGGGGGAGAAAAAGGAAAAATAAAAATCTTTAAAAATATATATATATATTCCCTTCAAGGGGCCAGCCCAGTGGCGCAGCGGTTAAGTTCACACGTTCTGCTTCGGCAGCCTGGGGTTCACCGGTTCGGATCCCAGGTACAGACACGGCACCGCTTGGCAAGCCATACTATGGTAGGTGTCCCACATATAAAGTAGAGGAAGATGGACACGGATGTTAGTTCAGGGCCAGTCTTCCTCAGCAGAAAGAGGAGGATTGGCAGCAGTTGTTAGCTCCGGGCTAATCTTCCTCAAAAAAAAAAAATTCTCTTCTAAAGAAAGTAATACATCACACAATGAAATACCACAGCAATGAGAAAGAATAATCTGCAAGTACATGCAGCAACCTGGATGGATCTCACAAATATCAGAGCAAGAACAAGGAGCAGACACAGAGCCATGCCGTACGACCCCTTTAACAGACAGCACAATAACCAGGGAATCAGCCTCTGCTATGACGTCAGCGTCACGGCCACCCTGGAGCAGCTGAGACTGGACCAGGCATGAGAAGCCTTTCTGGCTGTGGCAATCTTCTGGTATTTGATTGAGGTGTGGTTGGTTTGTAAAATTTCATTAAGCCTACATTTATGATATGTATACTCTTCGTGTATATACATATATTTTTTTTAAGATTTTTTATTTTTTTCCTTTTTCTCCCCAAAGCCCCCCGGTACATAGTTGTATATTCTTCGTTGTGGGTCCTTCTAGTTGTGGCATGTGGGACGCTGCCTCAGCGTGGTTTGATGAGCAGTGCCACGTCCGCACCCAGGATTCGAACCAACGAAACACTGGGCCACCTGCAGCAGAGCGCGCGAACTTAACCACTCGGCCACGGGGCCAGCCCCCGTATATACATATTTTAATGTAAATTTTTATAAAAATAGAGAATTTGAAAAATAAAAATTTCTAAAACTTTGGAGCAAAGAACGACAGGGTTATAGGAATCCATGTTTAGACCCCCCCAAGTCTACTCTGAAGATGACAATTCCCAGTTAAGTGAGTAATCTAGATGCGGGACAATCAATGGCACAGCTACGACCTCACAGTGACAGAGTCCTTATGGTAAACTGCAGTTCCATCCTCATTTTCCTTTAGTCTCACTTTGACTCCCCGTTCCAATTCCTTCTGCTTATTTTTAAATGAATAAAGATATACAATTTTTAAAGAATAAAAGATGTGAAACATTTCCTTCAGGCATTATCTTTGAAAGAAAACAGTATACGCTATAAAAAACATATCACAAAAAATATGCTTCACAACCTTAACCTTAACCAGAGGGACAAATCCATAATTTTTCAGGCCAATATCTAACTTAGAAAAAGTTCAGGCAACAATCTTATAAAGGAAAAGATGCTCGCAAAAGTTGAAAGATAATATTAAACTTAGAACCACGGTGATTTTTTTTCCCCAAACCATTCTGTCTGCTCCTAAAAAGAATTCTCAATTAAGGACACTCATCCTTTGCAAAGATCCCAGGAGTCCCCTTTCCTGACATCGTTGCAGAGTTCACTTGATGTGTCTGCATCTCCCTGGGTCTGACCCAGCACACCCATGCAGAACTGTGAGGGCAGTGTGGACGGACAAGACGACAAGGCGGAGAGGAGGAAGTCCTGAGCTCTGGGCACACACGGGCTGACGGCCTTGAACCGCACCTCTTTCTCTCCTCGTCCGTGCAATCTAACCAATGACAGCCATCCTCACTACTACACAGGCTACAAGGCATGAGGCTGGGGGCTCAACCAAGAAAAGAAATGGAAAAGCACTGGAAAGCTGGAAAGCACTGTGCAGGTCTGAGAAACTACTTCCATAAACATACACCACCGTACCAGGACAAGAGAGATTTCTAAATACAATCTCACTTTTGGTAACTACTGGCAATTTCATACTGGTTCAACTTAATAGAACACTTACAAAAACTTTATCTTTTTATAAATAGCTTAATGAAAAAAAAACCAAGACAACTACCATACCTCGGGTCTGGGCAGCTTCCTTTAAAGCAGCTAGAAGGTGAGGCTTCAAGTTATCCAAAATAAATCTTCCTTCAAGACCTGGGAAAAGGGACCTAAAAAGTGAAAGGAACACAGCAATTATAATCTAACAATTCTAAGAGAAAGAAATTCAATCATATAATTTCAAGTCAGTTAAGTGTAATATTTTACGTAAATTATAATGCACACACCAAATCATGATGCAATACTTTTTGATCAAATGTTGTCTAGGCTTCACCTTAAAACACAAGGGCAGCACGCATCATATCCAAATCTAGAAACAGTCTAAACATCTTGTGATAAAACTAATTTTAATTTCTGAAACATCAATACACATTCTCAGTTATAAAGAAATACTTAATATGCCATTTTAATTAATTTAAATTTAATCAAAATAATTCATCATTGACTGGTCTGACTTAGTTATTATTACCACTTTATTGAAATTTCCAAGAAAAACAACTCCTTGGATAACTTTTTAACTCATAAACATCTGTATGTTTTTTCATTTTAGAAGATAAAAATGTATCCTTTCATACTTTAACAAAGTATTTCCGCAAAAGTCTTCCTAACTATAAAATCCACATTGATAACTGACGAACTTCACAATGAAGGACTAAACGTGGGGGGGCAGAGGAGCCCCTCCGAGCAAAGAGGCATTGTCCAAGTGGGGCACATACCTTGGGTAGTCTTCCGAGGTAATATAAACCACATCTTGGTCTGAGACCGAGGACGAGAAGGGGACGAAGTGCCCGTTTTGCAGAGGGAGGAGCTCCAGCCCGAGCAGCTCGCTGTAGGCCTCGTCGGAGAGCACGAACTCCAGGAGGTGCAGCCTCTCGCGGGCGCCGCCCTCGGGCGCAGACTTGCGCAGCACCTGCCGCACCCACGCGGGCGTCACCTTCCTGGCCGCGCCGGGGGCGG